TATATTTTAAGTTTCCAATAAACAAATAGTTTGACAAAAAAGTAAGTTTCAATGTCAAATAAATTTGATGTTCAATTTACACACGGAAAACCGGATCTTCGATTGGGAAACGGGTTATCTTTGACAATCGGATTTCGCTAGTGAACCCGGTTTATCGACTAAATAACAGGTTATATTGAAAATCCTGTCACAGATCAGTCAAAATTATACGATTCCGAATTTCGTTAAGCCATAACGAAAAAAATAAATCATACCTGTAATTAAAAATCTACTTTCGAAGGTAGAATTCGAACCTCGCGCTTGCTAATCGGAAGAATTGAACGTAACAGATATATATATATAAATATATATTGTCTGTCTGAAAAGTCTGAAGCGTTGTATTAAAGAATTTTACAAACCGATAAACGTTTCACGTTGCAATTCTATAAAGTAAAAGAGTTTCCAACAAAAAATTCATGTCAAAAGGATAATAATAAAAATAAAATACGTATTAAACTTGGTATTATAATTTACATGTCTTTTTTCCTCCTTTAATTTTTAAACCATGTAATATACCGATCGGGCGATCCCAGAGACAATTGGCCAAGAAGATCTTTAGGAATGCAAGGAAGAAAAAAGACAAAAGATGTTTGCAGAAACTGTCAAATCTATTTTTAGTCAAAGTCAAAGAAACATTCACAACACAATACCCAAATTACATAGTTATTGTCATCCCGACAAAGAAGGGATTCGTATCAACGCGTATATCATTCGAAATTCGATGTGCGAAATGTGCGGATGCACATGATTTTTATCTTCCCGCACATCTTTAAAAATTTGTGCACATTTCACAGATTCCTCACATGATTTTTAAAGGTCCCGCATGATGCAAATTTTGAACAATAGTATTGTGATGAATAGCTTTAGGTCACATAAAAAAAAACAATTGGTGGAAAATGGTTCTTTTAAGAGAAGAATGAGAGCAAAAATAAATCACACGTGAGAAAAGGTGGTGCAGGAAAAAGCAAAGAAAGAACAACGTGAAAGCCTTGCGTGCATTACTTATTGTTAATGATTGAAAGACAACACTCGATATTTTACGTAATTATACAGTATCATCAAAGCGCTCGGATCAGTTGTAACTTAAATCAATTAATGAGATTAAAATTTCTTTGTAAATATGAAAACAATAATTTTTTATTGTTCGCGTGTTATTAATTTCATGACAAAAAGAAATAAACGTTATCTGTGCAATCTCCATCAAATTTTTTTTTTTTTTTTTTTGAAATAATTAAATGCACATCTTATTAAAACCTGTTTTTGTTTTGGGAATCAATTTTCTTTGTTTATAAATAAAACACTACGACTATGTATGTTAAAAAAAAAAAAAATGTAATATGACGAATTCATCATGTCCAAGTTGACATTGATTTTCTTTTTTACAATAAATCTCCTTTTCGGTTTATTTACAAGAAGAAACAAGTTTTTTAGAGTTTATTTTCCTGTCTTTAAAAAATTTTAATTTTTAAATTTAATTTTTTTTTTTTTACCATTATTATTTTAATTTTACCAGTTTTATTCATAATTTAAACATAAGTGAAAAAGACCTGATTATTTTTAGTATAAACTATTTCATAAATGTAAATAAAATCCCATGTACAACATGTAAAAAATGTAAAAAGTTTACACAATGAAATCTTAAAAATTTAAAATGATTAAAAAAAAGGTATGATTGTGAGAAGATTTAATTTCTTTGATATCTAGATCCGGGAAAAATTGGGATTGGGTTTAGATTTTGTTTTTCCATCATTGATGAAAATTAGTTTCTTTTTTCTTGACATTTTTTATCAACAGGAAATTCAGGATGACAAATCTTTCACCTTTTTTTTTTTTTTTTTTTTTTTTTCGAACCATAAAGGGGCTTTGAATTTCCTTCTATCAATGTCCAAAAAACTTTAAACCCAATTTAATCCAATTGTTAATAAAAAAAAAAAAATGTTCATTTCATTCAACCATTGAAACGCCTTCCCAATCAAATATTTGAAGATTACACAATGGAATTCCATATTAGAAAAATGGCTCTAAAAGGGGGTTCTAATAATATTTTTTATTAATTCTAACCACATCTAAATTTCAATACTAACCACATCTAAATTTTAATACTAACCACTCTAAATCAAGAATAAATTATATAAATTAATGGTTGATCCGATCGTCCGCTTGCCATTAATATAGTTCCTATCTTTTTTTCTCAAACCTTCTAACCTAATTTTTCTCACACTTATTTAATTAGATGATTTGCGATATTGAAATCCTTTTCGTAACCTAACGATTTATGTAAATTTTAAATGTAAAATTCAACGATTTACTATCTACGTGATACTACATATACCTAAAATAATATGTATTTAATTTAGATAAAACATCAAAATAAAAAAAAACCTACCTACCAATTTAATTAGTACGTAATGCTTTTTCACACGGATGGGGTAATTTTACGTTTAGGATAGATGGATTGTTTTATGACGAAATTTTACCATCTTTTCCAAATTTTTTTTTTCCTGTTCCGGACCCTCTTTTCCCATAACGAAAAAATTTTCACACAATTGCATTCCATCCTCATTGATACTGCAAAAAAAAAAAAAAATATTGATGTATAAATAGACATTTCTGGGAAAAATATTTAATATGCATTATTAACAGGTGAATAAAAATTCAATCTGGTTTAGCATGAAATGTAGGAAGAGTTGAAATTTTTGTTAACAATAGAAAACCAAAAAAAAAAATGACAATGAAAAGTTGGTTGTCGAATTGAACTAAAAAAACCACACAATTGCACCCTACACAATAGACCTCACTTCCCACTTCCCTTGTAAAGTTCATCTCTCCATTAAATGAAAAAAAAACAAAAAAACAAACATAAACAATGATTTACTGCGAGTTTGTAATTAATGCAAGGGTTCCCTAGGGTCTTGTCCTTTTTTTTTAGAGTTGATATTGTTCATCTTTCTTTAATTATCACAATTATTGTTTACGGCTGGTTTTCAAAACAATGTGATAGATTCAAATGACAAATTGTTTAGACTGTAATGATTTGCTCCATACACATACATTTGAGTAATACAAAAAACATATGTCGTGTCCCTGTCGTTGTGACTTGATTTCCCTATGCAAGAACGTTTTATATGGACATATTGTGAGGAGATTTGGGCAAATTTCCACGGAGACGTGCATTGCCGATTCTTACCACCTTTTTTATTCTTTGCACCTTTTTATCCGAATCAAAAAAGCAAGTTTACCCCACAAAGGGTCATAAAAAAAATAAATGATTAAGAGTCATTATTTTTACTGTTCGGATTCCGTTTTTTCCTTGAAACGGCAAGGTGCCTGATGCAATGCAAAAATATTATTTCTCATCATACATGAACATTTTGGTCAATTATCCGCAGCGATCAGCTTTTGAATTACATTTCCTAATAGCAATAAATGATTCATGATTTGGTTGGGTAATACATTGCAAAAATTTAAAGGATTTGTTGTTAATCATCATATGAAAATTGAGAGTAATGGCTTATGAAAATACGTTGAAAATGGATGAAAAGCAAGCTAACTCGATTTATAGTTATTATAATAAATATAATAAAAAAAAAACTGGTCAATTGTATGAGGGATAATAACACCAATTGGTCTCCGTTAATTAAACGCGCGTAAATCTCTCCCCTCTCCCCCTTTTTTAAGGGATCAGATAACAATTTGGTAAAGATTAAAACGTTTATTATTTTTTTTTTTTTTTGAAGGTACGACCGCTCAAATAGATGTAGATAGATTTTTAACGGAAACGGAAAGATATCATATGAATTTAATTGAAATTTGTAATTAAGGCAGTTAGGCAATTCGGGACGGAAATAAATTTCCACAACCAAATATATCGTAGACGATGTACGTAATGACTATATCGTAATGCGTGTTGTTCTCGAAAGTTTTTTTTTTCCTGAAACCAATTTTTTGTAAAAGATGTGTGGGTAAGATTCGTAAAAGGCGGTAAAAAAAAAAAAAAAAATGTAAATAATGACCTAATAAAAAAAAATTTAGCTGCTTGTGATACAAACAGAAATTATCAAACAATCCTGCACCCTTTCTTTTTATTTTCCCTCATGATTTTTTGGTGATTAAATTTTATTTTTAATTATTTTTATTTCTGAAAATACATCTAAGCTAGTTCAAGTTTCAAACTAATAGTGACACAGTATAAAAATATGACTTGACTTCCTATCCGCAGAAAACCAAAGGTATTGTAAAAACTTTTAAAAAAAAAGAATCAGGAAAGACGAGATGCAAATGAACTTGCGAGAGTATGATTATCATAAGGTTTTGAATCGATTGTTGGTTAGTTTTGTCACCTCTTTTTTTTTTTCCATTTCGAGTAAAACACCATTGTAACAAAAAGAACCAAAGACAGGTTCCCTTGATATCATTTTAATGTGATCGAATATATTTTCAAAAAATTTACTTTTTAAGATTGAATTCAAACAATTATTTATGCAATGGTTCTCTTATCAGAGTCATCTTTATCAATGGTGGTGATATTTAAGTCTTAAAAGTAAAAAAAGGTATTCTCAGAATTCTCCGGTTCTATCCCACATATAATACTTGTACATTATAATGCTGAGCCATTTGATTGTCGCACGAAATGGCGTTACTTTAAATGTTTATTGAAAAAAAATAATAAAAAATAATTATGTTGTTAGAGTATATTCAAGTATAAAATACAATATAATAAATAATGAAAAAGTGAACCTCTCTTACATATATAAAGAATCAAGGACGAGGAGAGTTTTTTTAAAAAAAAAAAAAAAAAATCCAAAAATCCAAAAAATAAAAATTCAATACTTAAAAAAATTTGAAAAAACCTACTCTCTAAAAAAAAAAAAAATACTCTTTTTTTAAAAAAAAAAAAAAAAATATTTTTCTTCTATTCTCAAATAATAAAAAAAACCAAAACCTTTTAAAAATTCACAAAAATGGCACCTACAGCATTAACAGCACCAAAACCTACAAAAACAATCAAGATTAACTTGGCAAGGAATAATCAAGTCGTTGACGTTGTAAGGCAACTATCACCTGACCCGACCTATAAACCCGAAGACATCGTACAAGTTTCTTTTTCCATGTCACCAAAGGCCACCATAGAAATTGCTTCCATCGTAGCAATAATCCAATACTATTGCAATATAGTCATGTCGAATGTGATTCACGACGTTGTATTCGACTTTTGTCGCATTAAACTTCCCTTCACTTGGCCTAATAAGACCATTCGCGAAATTCTCTATTTGAAACCCGATGATTCAGTTGCGATTGAATTGGTTAGTAAGGACTGTCGCTTAACAGTTTTCAAAAAGAATGACCATAAACGTCGAGACGACTGGTATGACCACGTCAAGAACTGGAGGAAGGATTTGCCACAACGTTTCCATTTAATGTTGAACGAATTGGTTGAGAACGTTTCAGCTCATGCTCAACTTGAAGACTCGAGGTTCGTCTTTACCGCTGGTTTGTTATTCAACGCCAAAAAGGTAAGAACTTTTTTCTTTCGCAATTCGAACGTCACGTGTTGACTATCCAATTTCACTTAATTCTTGCCGGAATTAAATGCAATGCGGGCCACATAATTTAACGTCCTTTCCTTTCCCTTCCTCCCCTCTCAGCAACTCTTTTATTGCATCGCAGATTGTGGTGTTGGTCTAAAAGGCTCACTTAAACAAGCGATCGTTTCTGAAGCAAAACAAGCTTCCGCTCGTGCCTGCGCATTAAATTTGACTCGCCCTCAATTCACATCAAAAGGTATCGACCGAGGTCATCAAGGAGTTGGACTTTTCATCACTTCAGAATTATCACAAATGAACAAAGGTTATCTCGAAATCCTCTCTGGAACTCAAGAATACGTACAAAACGGTAAGATATCGATCTAATTTCCCCCTTTCCTTTTCCATATTTTGATGCTAAAAGATCAAAATTTTCTGTTTCTTGTTGTACATAGATAATACAGTCGTGCGTGTACGTGGTGTTGCCGAATGGAGAGGTACGATGGTTCACGGCGCCATCAACACCGACAAAGATTTTAATTACCGTCAAGCGATGAAATTATTTGCCGACCCTTCCAAGCTCTGCAAAGACCGTTTCCTTGTCGCCAATCTTCACTTGAACGTTTATGGTCAACAATCCTTAAGAACAAGGGAACTTTGTGAGGAAATCATTCGCGATCTTGAACTTGCTGTTGAACGTTCACCAAAAATCATTTTAGATTTCACTGGAATTGTTGAAATCAGTCAAGCATTCCGAGGCTTCTTACGACAATTTGTCGTTAATCACTCGAAAATAAAAATCATGATCATGGTACCTCCAACCGCAGATGAAGATTTAAGAGAAGATTTACAAGAGTTGATCGAACTTGCTGCTCAAAATTTAATTGACGAATAAATAATTTTTTTTTTTTTTTTTTAAAAAAAAAAAATTTTACATATTTATTTTATCAAAAATTTTTTTCTTCACTGTACACATTTGCAAAAAAATAGACTTGTTAAAATTCATTAATATTTTTTTTAAAAAAAAAAGTGTCGATGGGGTACAGCGAACGCCTTTAATTTTTTTTTCCTTAGAGATGGCGGGCAGGAGAGTTTGGAGGAAAGATTGCGGGGTTTAAAAAAAAAAAAATTTTATCTTTTTTAGAGTTATTAATTTTTTATTTGCATTCAAAAAAAAAAAAAAAAAAATTTTTTTTTTTTTTTTTCCAAAAATCCCATATTATCTAGATTTTTTCATATCATCAAAAAAAATTATTTTAGTATTATTATTATTATTATTATACATACATATATATATTATATTATTTTCCTTTACACACATTCAAAAAAAAAAAAATTCTTTTAACCACATTATAAAATTTTTCTTTTTTAAAAAAAAAAAGTTATTTTTAATTGTGAATAAAAAAAAAATATTTCGATATATATATTTTATTTTAACGTGATAAAAAAAATAAATATGTAATGCAACGTCTAAAAGATATTTCAGCCAGCATTAAGAATTCAATAAATAGTCTGGTAAATTTTAATATTAATCACATGATTTTTAGGCGTCGATTAGGGCGTTATGGTGCGCTGAAGAACTTGCACCAAAGCTTTTTCTTAGGATCGGTCCATTTAAGCTTCTTATTATTGAGCGTAAGGTTATTGAATTCCATCGCAGCTTTTGCATCGGTAGCGTTCCGGAAGTAAAAATATGCATGTTGGAGGTACTTGTAGTTAGAGCGGGCCCTAGGTACAATCCATGTTGAAGCGTCGTTACGACCTTTAAGCTTGACAAGAATCGCGTCGAATTATTTATAATTATTTTAAACTATTTCATTCCCAAAATCAAACTTCTTAAAAAAAACGATTATATCAAATAAATCAACTTTAATACAAACTTAAATAAAAAAAAAAATAAAAAAAAAAAATCGTGCTATATTTATGATATACGACCAGAGTATATATATATAAATTTTTTTTTTTCTTTTGTTTGTTGATGGAAATAATTACAGAATATATATATATATTTCCAGAAAAAATATAAAGTCAATAAAAATTTTCTGATAAAATAATAATAACAATAAAAGATATACAGAGAAAAATAAAATAAAATAAAAAGAAAATATGTATATATGTTATGTATATGTATATATAAGAATTCGGTATATAATATATTCCTTGTATAATAATATAATAATGATATGTAATGATTTATATATATAAAAACAGAGTAAAATAAACTACAAAATAAAAAATTTTTTTTTAAAAAAAAGCCAATGCAAATATATATAGATATATAGAATAATAGTAATAATAATAATAGTAGTAGTAGTAGTAGTAATATATAGTATAGAATGTGTTTCTTTAAACACTAATAATCTTAATAATAAACCCACCCATAAAAGCACAAACTAGTTTGCGCAAGTCCAATAAAATATCCATTCTTTAAATTATTATGTAAGCGAATTCTCTTCATTCTAAAAACTTCTTGTCACCTAATCAAACGAATAGTGAAAAAATATTAATTATACCTCTACTAATCAAAACATTTAATAATCAATCAAATCCTCTTGGGAAAAAAAAAACAATCAAAGACAACAACAATAATCTGACGATTATTCCTTTTTAATTTTCACGCGGCTTATTCGTTCCATTGACATTATTGATGTTGGAGTTTGCATTTCCGCTTCCATTGGTTGTCATTCGAGGGACCGAGATCGACGTTGACAGACCAGAAGAATCTGAAGCCGTACCCGAATTTGAACCTGTAGTCGATGAAGAATGGCAAGAATCAGAAGATGATGATCTAGATGCATTGCCGTGTCCATGACTCAGGTGTTGGTTATTATGTTGATGGTTATGATAATTATGATGACTATGATTTTGATGATGCTGACCGTGGTGATTATTGTTATGAGTATAAAGCCCATTGCTAACCACCACCCAACTACTTCTCCTAGAGAGCTCAGTAGTTGGAGTACCGTGAGGGGTCGTTGATACCCCATTCGTATGAATATGACTGTGCACATGACCGTTCACCATCGAACTCTGTTTTCCTGACGATGATGATATTGGCACCGTGGAAATTGATAGTGACGATGACCCATTGCCCATTGCTAAATTGGAACTTGGATTTCTCGATTCGGAATGTACCCCATTTGAACTTCCATTATTACTACTTGATAAACTACTTCCACTCCAAGCAGGAACAGAACCACGTCGAGATAAACCAGGACCCAAATTTTCAGGAGGAATTGTTGACACGGGAGAAGGTATGCCACCGCCAAACACATTTAAATGACGGGGAAGTGGCGGAAGGGCAAGGGAAGCCCTACGGGCATAACCTAAAGCGGCTGCGGCAGCCGTATGAGCAACATTACTGATGGTGGCGGCATTAAAAGTCATTGACGGAAGTGAAGGAGGCAGTGTAGTCACAGGAGTTGCGGGTAAAGACTGTGTTGATGGAGCTTGGTAAGCAGAATAGTGATATGAAGGAGGAGGAGGAGGAGGATATTGAAAAGGATTTGAAGGAGAATCATGAGACATACGACGCATTAGGTTTGTTATATTATGTGTGGGAGATGGGGTTGGTAAGGTATTATTATTATTAGGCGACGGTTGTGAACCATTTCTATTACCATTTATCGACTTTGAGGTTGTTATGGCTAACGCAGATGTCGGACCAGATGGATATGGTGGGGGTGCTGCAGCTCGATAAGCATGATCCTCCGGATTTATTGGTTTTGGTGATGAATGTCTTGGATGATGGTATTGCTGTAAATCATCTGACAAGTCACCGCTTCTTGCACGATTAAGTAATGAACCGCTACTGTTTGCACGCTTTATCGTGGAACCTAAACTCATTGACCTATGATGTTGTGATTGATGATGTGGATGTGGATATGGTTGTTTTAAATGATGGTAAACAGGATGGGCATTAAACACATTCGTTGAAGCAAATGGAGCGTGCATAGGCGAATTGTTGATAGAATTTGGGTGATTTCCATTTGGCGCTGAAACTATTGAAGGTGATGAACCAGGTAATGGAGGAGGTGGAGTTTTTGATAAATGTGTTGAATATTGTTGTGGAGATGACGTTAATGAAGTTTGATATGTTGAGGTAATGTTCAATGATTTTGTCGAAGAGAAACTACTATCTCGACGATGCGAACGAATAATATTATGATGATTATTTTCTACTTGATCTTCTTCTTTCATTGCCTTTGGTCCACCACCCTTGCTTGTTGTATCATCAGTAGAGGGGAATTTACGTGTCCTTTTACTTAAACTCTTTTCAAGGTTATGACCCGAATCCCACCTGGGAAATCGATTATCATATACGTTCCCACCTTGTCTCATTTCTTCTGATACCCAATGTTTGAGTAATTGATCACCGTATCTCTGCAATTCTTCCACTGTTATTGCTAAGCGAAAGTCGTTCAATATAAGAAATTCTAACTCCAGTTGATTTAATTCCGCTACTGGCAATCCTCCCACCTATTTAATTGGGTAAAAAAAAAAAGAAAGGAAAGGAAAGGAAAAGTAATAGACATCCAAAAAAGGAATCCGGAACAAAAAAAAAAAATTATTTTTATTAATCCAACTATTTCTCTGAAATAATTTCAAATTAAGATAAAACATCAAAATAAATACAAAAACAAACTAGAAACAATTAGTATTTTTTGAATAAAAAAATAAAAATAAAATAAAGCAAACAATTTTAACATATATATACACATATATACACCTATATATATATAAATCTATAAAACATTTAAAAAAAAAAAAAATTCAATTAAATACTCTTAATTCAAATGAATTCCATTAATTGATTTTTTTTTTTAAAAAAAAAAATTTTTAGATACCAAAATTCCAACTAATTGTCGTCGAACCGTATATTAAAAAATAAAAAAAAAAAAAAAAATAATAAAGGATTTCTCAAATTGGCCCAAATTTCAAAGAAGAATTTGAATTGAATTGAAGGATAAATCTTTGTTTATATTTCACATTAGCCCATATCCTTGATTTATCCAGCAATTCTGTTTTTTATAAAAATTAATAGGGGAAGAAAAAAAAAATCTTTTTTTTTCACCCACATATTTCATTGCTACAAAAAAATTCATATTGCATCCTTGAAATTTTTTTTTTTTTTATAAAGGAAAAAATGTTCCGTAATAAACCTGCTTATCATACCTTTGCATATCTTGAATTTGTGAAAAATACGTCGGAAAAAAATTTGGATGACACCATGATGCCAGCAATTATCAGACGATGAATGTTAAAAGAATCTATAGAGAAAGGTTTTCCAGTTGTTGCTATTGCATTCTTTGACATACGATCAAAATAAACCAGTAATGATAGGAAACATTCATTTGTTGTAGGACAATATTTCAGTATCCTTGAAAGATAAGAATGAATATCTATTGAAGGAACTGAACGAGCATGAAAACGCGTGAAAGATGGTGTAGCAGCTACCGAAACGGTAGGAGGAGGAGTCTCGACGTGATTTATACTATGAGACTTTAATTGGTCGTTAGCATTAGTAATCTTTTCCAGAAGTGAAGCAAGCATCTTCAGAGTGTCCGTAACGGGAAAATTTGCTAAATCCAGTGTGTGCATCATGAATGCAGTTGCTTTTGTTTTATTCTCTCTTAAGGAAACCAGGGCGTCAGTCTTTGTGATTATAGATTAATAATATTTAACACCAAGAAATAAATAAAAAGAGATGTAATGCAAAGTTTAATATATAAGTATATATTAGAAAAAAATTTTTTTTTTTTTTTTTTTGAATACAAAGTCAAAAAGAACTATTAGGTGAGAAAAGCAAAGGTTTTATTGTATCTGGAGGATAAAGTGGTACAAGGAGAGCAAAGGAAGCGAAAAAACTAGCAATCACAGCCAACCAACCAGCATACACAATGAACAGGAGTCGATGACATGAACACCGACTTTTACCAAGTATGTAAAAAAAAGCAGTATTAAAACAAGGTTTATTATGAAGGTAGTACGATGGAACCTTTTTTGAAGGACGCCACACATGATTAGAATTAAAATGTTATGTGAAGGACATACCGATAGCTCGGTTACACGAGATTATGACCATATTTTTTTTGGGTAGAAGGTTTTTTGGAATCGCCAATCAATCATCGTTATATGATATACGAATTCCCCAAATCAAAAAGGTAATTATGTAATTAAAGCAAAAGAAACACTCTTCGATAATATCATGGCTGCATCTCTATCAGATTTACCCTAGATATTATATTTATCCTTGTGTTTATGAATTAAAAAAATAAACAAATACCCAACAACAAATAAATTAATTACCTAAATTTCGAACATAATTTCTACGACGACCTTCTAGGTTACCAGCTTGGTTGTACATCTCCACAATTTTTACTTTATATTTTTTTATGTATTCTTTTTGTGGAGTTCGCTCCTTATTTGTTATGATCCTTCTGCTCAATCCTTCCAAACGATTTTCGGAAATTCTTTTTAACTTTGCTAATCCCGTGTAAATGATGAACAATATCATATCACGAGACTATATTGAATAAGAAACATGAGACAAAAATCACACAAATCTTTTCGCCAAAATTGAATACAGATAAAGTACTTAGACAAAAAAGAAATATGCACAGAATTTTTAATAACTTGCACAAGATCTAATTTGGTTTAAATGAAAAGTTGTGTAAATATTTTGTGGAAAAAAAAAAAATTTTTTTTCACAAAAAAAAAAAAAAATAATTAATATACTTAATTAAATTCTATTACGTTAGATTTGGGTTTTTATAAATTTTTGGAACAAACTTCTTCCCGGAATCTATGACGATCACGTGCAAACAAACACTGGACAATTCATTGGCTCAGAATAACAAAGAATTTTGCGCATAATTTTTTCACAGTTTGCCAAAAACAGTATTTTTGTTTACAAACCCATCAAAAAGGTTTCAAAAATGCAAAACGTGTCAATTTGTGATAACAAATGAGCATATTACTTGTTGACCAACAAAATTAACTTGTTTCAGCAATAAATTAATTAATAAGCGGCATTATTTAATTTCATTGATCATTGATTTGTGCTTATAAATAAATGGGATGTTTCAAATAATAATAATAAAATTTATTTCATCCTTGATTCTACCCTTTCACATATTAAAAACTTCATCTTTTTTTTTCTTTCCCCGCATAAAATGACGTTCAAGAAGAAGGTTGTCAAGGAAATCCCCGGATTTGAATATATTCATTCGGACATTGTTTTAATACCAGGTTTTCGAGGTTCAAAGTTAGTAAATGACAAAACCAAAAAAACGGGATGGATATCGTTATGTACACCATTTTTGCCTCAAAGTAAAGAATCAATAGATTTACCGTTAAATATAACTAAACATGAACAGGATAGGTTGGTTCCGGATGGAATCATACAAAAAATTGCATGGTTGAAATTTTATGAGAATTTGGTTAATTATCTGGATGATTTATCTAAATCTCGTGAAATAAAATTGAAAAAAGAAGCAAAGAAATTAAATAATAAACGAAAACAAGAATCTTCCTCAACCTTACGAGAAGATGGGCAGGAAATTTCTTCTTCTCCTTCTTCTTCTTCTACTTCTTTAAATTCTTCTAGTACAACTTCCTCAACTAGCATTAATGGTACAATTATTCATCAACCATTTAAGTTACATAAATTTTCATACGATTGGAGACGTACGAACGAATCTTCTACTGAGATCTTTATTAAGTTCCTTCAAGATATTTACAACAATAATGGAAATAAAAAAATTTATATTATCGCTCACTCAAATGGTGGTTTAATAAGTCTTTCAGCATTACATCAACATCCTCATTTAATCGGTGGTATAATATTTGCGGGTACTCCTTTTGGTGGAGCTCCTGGTATATTTGGTAATTTAAGGCATGGAATTTCATTATTATTTAACAAAAAAATTCAGGATGATGCTGCGCATTTTGCTTTACGTACCGTATTTTCATTGATGCCACCTAAATTAGACGCATTTAAAGATCAAGATGATTCAACAAAATATGCCAATATTGATTATTTTGATGTCGAAGAATGGAAAAATAGCGATTGGTCATTAGCCATTAATGAGGATAATCCAAGGTATAATGAATTGGGTACCAGGCAAGAACGTATCGATTATCTTCAAAGAACTTTAGAAGCCGCGAAAAGATTTCATAAGACTTTAGAAAAACCTTCTGAAAATTTTGAATATCCTCCATTATGTACTTTAGTTAGTAATATTCATCTTACTAATGGTGGTTATCCGATGGGTAAATTAGATGATGGTAGACATTCTATTCTTTATGATAAAGCTATCGCTGCTGATGGTGATAGTGCTGTTCCTATTGAAAGAACCAAATTACCTGAGGGGATACCTTTTGAAGTTGTTCACACCAATAATTCTCATGGTTCCTTATTAGAAGATTTAGAGGCCGTTGGAAAAGCTTTACAAACAATTTTTAATAAACATTGAAAAACATTTTTTTTTAAATATAATTTAATAAATAGAATAATTTAATAAATTTAACTAGGTTTCACCCACTTTTCTCTAAAAAGAACAAATGACCTACTATATTTCAAATGTATTTTATTTTCAAGTATTTTATTACGATTGATTAAATAATTTACAAGTATAATTGATCAACTAATTTGAACCCGTTACCTAATAATTAACTAATTATGTTTGATAAGATAATGATTTCTAAAACGGTTTGACATACCGTTTAACGTCAAGGATTTGCTGACCAAATTGGATTCTTTTGAAAAAATTATGTAGTTATGAAACCCATATTTAAAATTTCTTAGATATGATACTTATTTTTAGTTGGATATTCTAATTATATCCGGCGGTCAATTCGGTGTCATGTGATAATTACTAACTTAACCTAACAGAGTAAGTGACAGATAACAAGTTTCAAAAATAATAGAAGGTAACTAAATCAAGTAAACACCGGAAACCATCTATAATTTATTTGATTTAATTAAATTAATTAAAAACTAAATTATTATTTAATAATATTAAGATTGAAGTTAAAAAATTTAAATCGTATAGAATCAAATAATTATTCATCACTTAATAATGTCATAATTTTACAATAATATATATTTTTAAATATAAAATTTATATATTTTAAAAAAAATAATCAATACTTATTACATATTGAAAGTTTGTTAGGAAAATCACTGAAATTTTTTTGACTAAAATTAAGACCTTATTACATTTTAATCAAAAAACATCAAAAAACTAAATTGCAATAAAAAACTAAAGTTTGTTAAAAGATTTCAAAACTCTATTTTTCTAGCAAAATTCCATATATGTTAATCAATAGAAATATATATGTAATTATTCAAATATAATAAAACTAGTTATATAATAATAATATGATTTATTCTAAATATAAGATTAAATAAAAGAATAATTAATTAGTTTTAGTATAATTCAAATTTTATCATATGAAAATATGATTAATCCATATAATTATTATTAAAAGTTAAAACTACCAAACCCACTTCTTAAAAGATTAAAAAAATTTTGATTAATATAATTAAAGTAGTTAAATACTATAAAGACTAAATTATAATAAATTATAAAAATAAAGTTCAAAAATTACATTAAGTTATAGATCTTATATATATATTTTAAATAATGTAAAAGATTATTTTTTAATAAAACAAGTATAGTTAGATTATAAGTGATTATAAACTTATTATAATCAAATATGAATATTTCAATATTATTATAAACTTTACAAAATTATATTATAAATTAATTAAAAATTATTTTATTATAAAAGAATAAACTAATAAAAAATTAAAGAATTGTTAATTTATGATTATTTATTGAAAAAAATTCAAAATTAAAAAGATAACTATGAGCTTTTTTCTTATAAAGAAATTTTTTAGATCATAATCTTTATTATTTTTTAATCAATAATAGGATAAAATCTTTTTTTTTTGTATTAAAGATTCTTATATATAAAAAATTTAAGAAGACCAATTTATATTTCTAATATATTACTTTTTTTTTCTAACTCATTAAATTTTAGTAAATATCTAACAAAATATTATAAATTAATTATTCTTTATCATAATTTATAAAACTATTGAAGTTTAAAAAACTTATTAATAATCTGCTTTTTTTTAATTATTTTTGATAGGTTACAATATTAAAGTTTTTAATAATTATTAAAAAAATTTTAATTAAGCTTAAATCTATCAATTAAATTCTAAAATTAATAAATCAGAAGTATTTTAATGATAAAATAATATATTAATTAATATTTGATTATATCCCTTAATAATACCTATAATCTATTTTTCTAAAATTTTATATTATATTCTTTTAATAATCTTTTATATACACTCTTAAATTCAGAACTCTTATTAATAATTTATAGCTTTAGTAATATAAGAGAATATTTAGGATTATTATAGATTTTTTTAATAATTTTAATAATAGTATGAAAAGTTAAATGCTTTATTTTTTCTAAAATTAATAAAATCAATCAAAATAAAAAAATTATATTTTAAGATTATATTTTTGATATTAAGATAAAAAGTTATATGATTTTATTAATCTAATTAAATATTCAATTAATAAAAACTTTTAAATAAAACTAAAACTTATATAAAAAATTGTTTTAAATAAAATTTATAAAACTAATGTATATATTATTTTTAAATTAACTATAAAATTTAGCTAATGTAAAATCATATTTAATATCTTAAATAAGTTTTTCATATTATTTTAATATCTTAAAAATTGATAATAAATCTTACATAATATAATATATTAAATCTTTAAATTATTTTAAAAATATTTAACTTATAAAAATAGTTATCATAAATGTACAAGACTATAAAATTAAATAAATAATTAAAATATAATCTATATAGGCTCTTTGCAATAGAAAAAAAGGAAACTACCAAAAAAAAATTTTTTTGCTTTATAAGCTAAATATTATATTTTTAATAAATAAGCCTAGATTTAACATTAACTCAAAAAAAATTTTTTGATAGTTTCTTCCCTTTTTATTGCAAAGAATCCATATTATAATAATTAGAAAATAAACTGATTATATAGAAGATTTACTAGAAAATATAGTTCTGAGAATTTTTTAACAAAATTTTATTTTTTATTTTTGAAGTTATTAGATTAAAATATAATAAAAATCTTAATTTAATTAAAAGAATTCTTAAACTTCATTTTTCTAATAACCTTTTAATATAAAAAATATAATAAAAAATTTAAAGTTTTAATATTTAAATAACTATATTAAAATAAATACTTCTTAAAAAATATTATAAATAATATGCTTGTTTAAATTCATTTCAAATTGATAAAGTATTTAACTTTAGTTTTATTAATTTTTTATTAAAATTTTAATATAATTTTATATTTTTATAAGTTTTAATATAGTTTTACCTTTTCTTAAGTTTTACAGATTTTTTAGAAAAAATTTTATATTTTTTTAAAAGTTTAAATATCAGAAAAATTATTTAAGTTTAATGAAAAATTATTTAACTAAAAGATAAAATTAGAAAAATTACATATTATTAAATAACTTATCTTTAAAAATATAATATATTATTAATAATAGAATCTTTATTATTTTTATCTTTATTATTTTTTTTTTAATATTATAGGATTATATTTATAAAATTGAAAATAGCTAGAAAATTAATAATTAAATTACTTATTAGATTAGATAATAAATTAATTAAACAAATTTGATACATATAAAGATGATCTTCATAATTACTTTTAAATTTTAATTGAATTATAACTTAATTATACTATAAGTAAATTTAATTGTATTATAAATTATAACTACATTATATATATTTAATTGTGATATTCATATTTAGATATATATATAATGCAAATTAAAACAGTTTGAAACTATTTAATAATATATAAAAAATTATATTTAAACTAATAATAAATTAGCTAAATATTACAAGATACTTAAAATATATTATAGTTTACTAAACCCTTAATAGTTAATTACAGATAAATTAATTAAATAATTCTGATCTGTTTCTAAAAGTTTATCTATCACAAAAGTCTTTATTAATATATTTGAAAAGGAATTAAATCATTCTTTTAAGCATAATTAAAATTTAAATAAATAATTTAATAAAAATTTATTTTATTTTAATATAACATAAAAAATTTAAAAACTAATAATAATTATTTTATCTATATATAAAATATTATTAGTCTCACTATAAAAAATATCACATAATACTACAGTCAACTCTTAATATAGTGAACTCTTAATATAATAAATTTTTTGAACAAACATAATAAAAATACTCTTGTTATAGCGAATTAGCCAATTAAATCTCTTAAAATCTTCACTATAACCTTATAGTGAAGTTGAAATTTAGGATATAGAGTTTGTTATAATAAGAGTTGACTGTAATCAGATTTCTGAAATCAAATATTAGACTTTCAGATATCTTACTAGAAATTTAAATATATTTATTATTAAAATACTGAAAAATTTGATTAGAATCTTAAAAATTATCAGTTTATTAGGACTTTTATTAATAAAATATTAGAAAATTAAGTCAGAGTCTTAAAAATTACTACTTTTTATTAATGAAATATTGTCAATTTAAAAATATAATTATTTTAATAAAATAATTTAAAAATATATTTAAAATAAATAAATAACTAAAATAATAAAATTATAAAAAAAGTTTTTAAAAAAAAATAAAATTAAATAAACTAAAAAATAAAAAAAAAATAATTAAAACTAAAAAATAAAAAAATAATAATATAACAAAAAAAAATAAAAAATAAATAAAATATTTGAAATTAAAAAAAAAATAAAAAATTAAAAAATAATTATTTATAGAAAAGAAAGAAAGAAATAAAAAACTAAAAATTAATTAAATAAAAATAAATAAAAAAAATATCAATTTTTAAATTAAAAAAATAAAATAACTAAAAATAATTATTTGAAAAAAAATAAAAAAATAATTAATTTAATAAAAAAATAAAAAATATATAATAATTAAATTAAATTAAAAAAATTAAAAACTGTAATTATTACAAAAATAATAATATAAAAAAATATTTAAAAAATTAAAAATTAAAATTAAAAATATTTTAAATATTCAAAATCAAAGTTAAAATCTTAAATAAATATAATATTTTATTATATTAGTAAATTATAATTAAAAAATAATTTAAAATTAATAAATTTAAAATATAAATTAAAAAATTAAATCACAATTATAAAAAAAATAATTATCAAAAATATTTTAAAATTAAAAAATTCATAAGTATTTTAAATATAAAATTATTAAAAAATAAATAAGTTTAAGATTAATTATTATTAATTTATTTTAAATTTATTAAATTTGTTAAAATCTTATATTATGATAGTAATTCTAAAGTATTCTTTAAGTAGAATTGCTAATAGTAAATTTTAATAATCCTCTTTTTTTTTACTAAGATAT